GATTAAAGATATTGAGCAGAATGCAGTTTTGCTGTTCGGTCTCTTACGTTGCTCTAAATCAGGGTTGGATGGACTTTTTTGATGAGCGGGACAAAAAAGGATATTTTATACAATAAACTTACTGTTTTTACTATCTGTTAAAAACCATTTAAAATCATTCAGTGGACAAATCATATAAAATCCAYTTTTTTAGCCGTTAATTACATTTTGTTGTGCATTTGGAGTCTGTAGGAGTGCAGAAAAGTTGAATTTAGTGTCTTCTGGTGCTGCAAATATATCTTTATATTCTGTTTKKGTCATATTTTTCAAGTCTTTTCAGTTTTCCTTATTTTCTATTGAWCTATTACACCACAGTATTTGCTGCTAAATAAGGCCATGGACTTCCGGCTAACCAGTTGCGCTAATTGGAGGTTCTGCAGGTTCATCGTCTTTATTYCCTTCCCGCTCTTCTGTACCTGTATCTCCTATCAAACTACAGAAATGGCAGAACTGGGTGGAGTGGACAATGATCATTGGTAGTTACTGTAGACCTGGGGGGTGCCTCATTTGCATTTAAAGAGACAGCACCAAAACAAGTTGCACTCCTCAGGACAGGGCTGAAAGAGGGGCTTGTGGAGTTACAGGGGTTGGACAATGAAAGTGAAACACCTGTCATTTTAGTGTGGGAGGTTTCATGGTTAAATTGGACCAATCTGGTGGTCAATCTTCATTAACTGCACATTGCACCAGTAAGAGCAGAGTGTGGAAGGTTCAATTAGCAGGGTAAGAGCACAGTTTTGCTCAAAAATATTGCAATGCACACAACGACATGTTAGGAGTGACATACCAGAGTTCAAAAGAGGACAAATTGTTGGTGCACGTCTTGCTGGTGCATCTGTGACCAAGACAGTAAGTCTTTGTGACGTATCAAGAGCCACAGTATCCAGGGTAATGTTAGCACACCACCAAGAAGGACCAACCACGTCCAACAGGATGAACTGTGGACGCAACAGGAAGCTGTCTGAAAGGGATGTTATGGTCTAAAACCAGGTGTTTCACTTTTATTGTCTAACCCYTGTACAATAAGGAGGAATTCAATCCAATGCATTGCAGTTCCACTTTATATAGACCCCATCTGAATGATTTAAGTGTGCAAAAAAAAAAGGATTTATTAGCATCAGTGGTGGGCACAGTTCCCCTAAAGCACTAAGGGGAACTAATTTCCTGATTAGTGCTTTAGGGCTTTTGCTAATGTGTTAATTCATTAGTGGATTAGCACTTGCTAAATTTATGGGCTGAATTTATAAGCACTAATTGAGTTTTTTTAAATATTACTGATCAACATTATTGTCAACAGCTGAGGGTGAAAGCTGTCAGACGTGTTCATGTGTGTCACTTATACTATGTCATTTATACTAGATCAGTTTTCAAACCTTTTTGCTTCTAACCCACAAAATAACAGCTGCAGACACTCGTGACCATATTACATGTTTACATTTGCAAACTTTGCTAATAACTCTGTTAAACATGGAAATAATAACTATAAACAAACCTAGTAACTATGATTCTAATTTTTATTCATTTATGATTATTTAAAAAATGCAATAATCATGATGAAAATATTCCATTAACATTTTTTTGCATTTAAATTGATGTCTGGAAATCATCAGGGGACCGTCACTTGATGTTTTGTGACCCACGAAGAGGTCCTGAGCCCATCTTTGGAAACCACTACACGAGATGAATTATTAACAACATTCTGCACACAGAAAATATGTTGACTCTGAGGAATGTTCAATGGGTCAGATGGATTTTAGTGCTTTAGAATTAGCTTTTGCTAAATTTTTCAAAGTGTTAGTGCTTTAGGATTAGGGGACCTAAATATTAAAATTAGTGCTTTAGGGTTAGTGCAACTAATTTTTAGATTAGTGCTGCCCACCACTGATAAGCGTGATATGTCCACTTTAAAATGATTAATATATTCCTCACAGTTTGCATTTAAATGCAAAGATTTTAATCGCTAAAAAAATGGACTTTGTATGATATGTCCCCTTTAATAAAAGAAAAGAACTGAATGCCTACACTCTAAAAATGAAATGTTGGATTTACTTAACCATGTTATGTTACCTGGTTCCACTTAACAGAGTTGAGTAAATTC